TCCTCCTCCTCCGCCGCCTCCTCCTCGCCCGATCACCAGGCCCTGGAGGGCACGCAGCAGGCGGCCCACGAGGGTCGACGCGTCCGCTCGCACGCAGAGCGGGGTGTCTGCGAGCTCCAGCAGGAGCCCCAGGCCCAGCGCGGCGGGAGAGCCCCCCGGGGAGCGCCTTCGTGCTCAGCGGGTTTGGCAGGCCCCCGCTCACGTAGAACGTGGTGAGGTTGATCATCATCTCTCTGTGACTGGCCATCCCCGAGGAGGAGGAGGAGGAGGAGGAGGAGGAGCAGGCGGAGGAGGAGGAGGAGGAGGAGGAGCAGGCGGAGGAGGAGGAGGTGAAGGAGGAGGAGGAGGAGGAGGACGAGGAGGACGAGGAGGATAAGGAGGAACCCCCAGAAGGCCGAGGAGAGGGGAGGGGACAGCTCGGCGAGAGGCCTAGGTGGGAGGCCAAAGGGAGGGGGCCTGGAGTTCGGAGGCGTCACGGGAGGTTCCGGGGGACCCCTCTTCAACGCGGACGGGGATCGCGTTCATTTCATCATGACCTTACTTTTACTGCCCCCCCCCCCCCCAGGGCAAGCACGGATGGGGCAGCACTCCTCGCGGTCGCCAGGAGGGGCGGAAGAGAGGGCGAGAGAGGGGGGAGGGGGGAGGGGAGGGGAAGGGGGGAGGGAACGAGAGGGGAGGGGGAGGTGGATGGGGGAGGGAGAGGGGAGGGAAGAGGAGGGGAGAGGGGTGGGGTCTGGGGACGGAACCGGCGGAAGGGGAGGGATAAGGGTTGGGGGAAAGAGGGCGTGAGGAGAGGGGGAAGAGGAGTGGCCGCTGCGAAAACGGATTGACCAGCAAGGCATGCTCACATCCATCATACCTCTCCCATGTTCTGAGCCCCACCCGTACCAAAAAGAACGGCACCGCGCCATGGTGCCGAAGAAGAAACGTCCCCAAGAGGCCCCGAAGCGACGCCCCACGATCCATCGCGACAAGCATGTAATGCCAAGATCTACCTAAGCGCGGGGGGCGAAACGTGTGGCAGTGGAACCGGATATGTGGGTTGCTGTCTGTCACGAAAACGACTGGCATCTGGATAAAGCAGTCGAACACGCAGTCTGCACACAGCGTCTGCCAACAATAGCTCAAACCACGCGGTCAAATACATCCCCAATGCGACCGACACGCATGGAATTACCATTTGAGCCGGATTATGTGGCCCAAGCGATGCAACTCATGAGCGCGGAAGGCACGCAACTAACACGTTGCTAATATTGCTGGCTTCAGAAGGCGCCTGACTTGCAGCGAAACGCAGAAACACGCGCGCGCACACACACACACACACACACACACACACTGGGGAGACAGAAAAGTACTGATACTGCTACTCCCCGGACCTCTCCCAACGTGCGTTCTGACCAGAATTTCGAGGCGAATCCAGCGGTGATGACGAGTGCCTCCCAGAAGGCCCAAAAAAGAAAAAACGGGCGAAGGGAAGCGGTATCACTGCCTTTGTTCATCCTCCGACGCACACACACAAAACAATCAGCATGGCGAAGGACCCAACCATATGCAGTTTTGCGTACCGCAATTGTGAATATCTGTTTCGGTTACGCTCCCTATGGGGCCACAAACCCTGTGAAGGGTGTGCCAAAATGGGTGCGGCGGACGCATGTGGACGGTGGCACTGGGGCCTTCGGTGGAGCTCCCTACGGGGCCACGAAACGTGTGAGAGGTGTGCCGAAATGGGTGTGGGGGACGCATGCGGGCGGTGGCACTGGAGCCTTCGGTGAGGTTCACTATGGGGCCACGAAACGCGTGAGGGGTGTGCCAAAATGGGTGTGGAGGACGCAAGTGGACGGTGGCACTGGGGCCTTCGGTGGAGCTCCCTATGGAGCCACGAACCCTGTCAGGGGTGTGCCGAAACGGGTGGGGACCGCATGCGGGCACCACCACCAGGGCCTTCGGTGGAGCTCCCTATGGGGCCACGAAGCGTGTGAGGGGTGTGCCGACATGGGTGTGGGGACCGCACGCGGGCACCCCCACCAGGGCCTTCGGTGGAGCTCCCTATGGGGCCACGCCACGAAACGTGCGAGGGGTGTGCCAAAGTGAAGGGGGTGACGGGAGGAAGAAGGAGGGGGAGGAAGGGGAGGAGGAGGAGTGAGTGAGACGCGGGGCGCTGTCTATTCAAAGAAGGACCCAACACCACCGAGCCTTGCGAAGGACCCAACCATATGCAATTGTGAATACCGTCGTGGTGGGTATCGCCTTCGGTGAATCTTCTTGTAGGGTCACAAAAAGTACGGGGGGGTGCCGTCATTATCGTCGCCGTCTTCATGGTCTTCGTCGTCGTTTGTCTTCGTAGTCGCGGTCGTCGTCGTCGTCGTCGTCGTCGTCGTCGTCGTCGTCGTCGTCGTCGTCGTCGTCGTCGTCGTCGTCGTCGTCGTCGTCGTCGTCGTCGTCGTCGTCGTCGTCGTCGTCGTCGTCGTCGTCGTCGTCCGTCGGTCCTGGACGACGCGAGCCATCAAAGTCGCGTTGGGCTTGAAGTGGGGCAAGCACCAGGCTCCGCCATTTCGAGTCTATGTCCTTCCCGGCTCTCGCCCTTTCTCATCTCCCTCTTTGCTTCCGATGCGTTTCTACGAGCCCGGCCCCGGACGGCGCGGTCCATCAGAAGTCGCGATCGACTTGAAGTCGGGCGATCACTGGGCTCCGCCACTTCGTGCCCAGTTTCCTCCCGCCTCTCTCGCTTTCTCATCTCCCCTTTGTTTTCGAACTGATTCTGCCAGCCTGGCCCAGGACGGCCCAGGGCTGTGGTACCTCCACCCGCCTCCGCGCCCCAGAATTGAACGTCACAGGCTGAACCAGCCAAATCGAACTTTACACTTTTTTGCCGACCTGGGTCGCTCGCATGTCAGCCCCCGAGCCCGTTCCGCCATGCGAATCTTGCCGTCGGGGCCTTCGGTGGAGCTCCCTACGGGGCCACGAGACGTGTGGGGGTGTGCCAACATGTGGATTTGGGGCCTTCGCTGGGGCTCCTTACGAGGCCACGAAACGTGTGAGTGGTGTGCCATAATGAGGCACCGACACCTTGGGGGACCACGAAACCTGTGACGGGTGTGCCGAGATGAGGCGCCGACGCCGTGCGGACCCTGGCATTTGGGCCTTAGCTGGAGCCCCCTATGTGGCCACGAGACGTGTGAGAGTGTGCCGAAATGAAGCACCAACGCCATGCGGACCCTGGCCGTTGGGCCTTAGCTGGAGCTCCCTACAGGGACAGGAGGGTCTGAGAGGTCTGCCGAAATGAGGCGACGACGCCATGCGGACCCTGGCATTTGAGCCTTAGTTGGAACTCCCAGTGAGGCCATGAAACGCGTGAGGGGTGTGCCGAAAACAGGCGCCGACGCCATGCGGACCCTGGCATCTGGGCCATAGCTCGAGCTCCCTTTTGAGGCCACAAACCGTGTCAGGGGTGTGCCGATATGAAGTACCGACGCCGTGCTGGCCTTGGCATGTAGGCCTTAGTTGGAGCTCCTTTGAGGCCACGAGACGTCTGACGGGTATGCCGCAATGAACACCGACGACATGCGGAATCTGGCAGTTGGGCTAGAGCTCCGCATGGGGCCACGAAACGTGTGGGAGGTGTACCGACATGAAGCACCGACGCCATGCGGACACTGGCTTTCGAGTATTCGATGGAGCTCTCTGTGAGGCCCCGAAACGTGTGAGGGATGTGCCGAAGCTGACGGCGATGATGGTGATGATGACGACGGTAATGATGACGAGGATGGTGATGATGACGATGATGATGACGACCATGTGGATGGGAACGATGGGGGGAGGGAGGGAGGAGCGGGAGGAGCATAACAGGAGTGACGCGGGGCGCTGTCTCTTCAAAGAAGGACCCAGCACCACAGTGCCACAGGATGGTTGGGAATTGAGCCTTGCGAAAGACCCAACCATATGCAATTGTGAATACCGTCGTTGCGGGTATCGCCTTCGGTGAATCTTCTTGTAGGGTCACAAAAAGTGCGGGGTGTGTGCCGTCATTATCGTCGCCGTCTTCATGGTCTTCGTCGTCGTTTGTTTTCGTCGTCGCGGTCGTCGTCGTCGTCGTCGTCGTCGTCGTCGTCGTCGTCGTCGTCGTCGCCGTCGTCGTCGTCGTCGTCGTCGTCGTCGTCGTCGTCGTCGCGGCACGGCGCCTGCGGCAGGCTTCTGTGTGCACCGGCCGCCGAGCCCCGTGGCCCGCCGACGCCTCGCCCCGGGACCCGCCGGCGCCTCGTGCTGCAGGAGAGGAGCGGCGCCCGCGGCGGGCTGGTCGCCGCGGGGAGGGAGGAGCGCCACAAACGGAGCATCCACAGAGCGCCCACAGCCCGGCGAGGCGACCCGAACGCCTCCATCGCTCGTATCCGCAACTGTGGAGATGAGTCATACAAAAAAAGCCTCCGCCCTGGTAGCCCCACGTGCTGAGATGATCCAAAACTGCCGACCAGGGTGCCTGCACGCGTCGGCCAGGAGCATACTTCGCCAAGCACCAGGGGATGCATGGCAGCTTCGCGGCAGATCCTGGAACGCTTGACGAATTGTTCAACGGGTTCCCCGGGTGCCTCCGACCGAGAAAGCGTCCTGCAACCTTGCTCTGAAAGGGTGGCAACGCACTCACCGGAAAGGCCACACATCCCCGCCCCTCTCGGCAGGGATGTCCGTGTGGTTGGTGAGATAAAAAGCCCCATACTGCAAGATGTTATCGTCGACGTTGTCGCAGAATAAGCTTGCCGCAATTCCTCGCACGGTCGAGCGCGAGAAGGGGTTGTCCCAAGACGGCGTGGCACCCGAGGCCGAAAGTGGTACTAGCAAAGCTGCCCTGTCGTGCTCCTGCCCCTGAGCGCTGAAGAACGCAAAATACGTGTGTGCATGTGTCCCTGCTTGCATACGCGATATGATTCATACCATGGCCGCACCTGGTACATTCAAATGCCGCCATGCACTGGTAGCATGGATTGCTCAGATGACTTCATTCAGCTCCTGCAGACAGCGTTGCAGCCCAGCATGGTGCAACGTACAACTCCCCGCAGCGCTGCACTGGTCGCTATCTTGTCCAATCCGGTCTGAAAAAGCCTCCAGGACCCCCCAAGGAACCCCCTGGCAACCCCCCAGGACCCCTCCCCCGGGACCCACCCCGCCACTGGGCGGGGAAGGGATCGCAGGAAGGGGCTTCCCTTCGACCAGGTGACACCTCAGACAACCACTCAAGCTCAAACCCAGAACAGACAAGGAAGGACATCGCAGAACCAACGCTGAAGGAAGAGGGGGACTTGGAGCAGGAGGTCCTCAACCTCCGTATCACCCTCCTCCTCTTCCGCTCCTCACCTGTCATCCCCCTCCTCCGCTTCCTCGAGCGCCTCCCCCTTCCCTGCCTCCCCGCCCCTCTCCTCCCATTCCCCTGACAGTTCGCCCCATGTACAATCGCATCTCGCTCAACAGCGCCGGCGACCGCTGCCACCGCTCGCCCTTCTCGCATGCGCTGATCCCAGCGACGTGGCAAACGACACCGGCCTCCGGCTTCACCTCCCACATCTCGCTCAGTTAGCGCCAGCGCCCAGTGCCAATATGCGGTGGGCCCGCCAAAATAGCGGCCGCGCCCCCGCCCCTCATGCGGTCGATCCAGCAGTCGACGGCCCCCCATCTGGTCAGGTCGCGCCAGCCCTCTCGTCGTTGGCGATGTCGACCGAGAGGGCCCAGGTCTGGGTCGAAGCCCGCCGTGAGAGAAGCGCCCCCTCCACTCCCGAAGGTCCTCTTCTCGTCGGCGGCCACTGTAGAGGCGCAGGGCGAAAATGACGCGTCCTCCACTGGGTCGCGGCATTATTAGCTTTGCGTGCGTTTGTCTGCTTCTGGAAAGTCAGAGGGGGGCATTTTGTCGTGAGCTGCGGTCTGGTCTTTGGTGTGGGTCGGGGCGCTGTCACTCTTGCAGCTCGGGCCTCGGGCGCAGTCGGGTGGTCTGCCTGCTTTGATATTGCTACGTTGGGCGATGCGTATGGCCCCTGTTTTCTTCCGTTCCCTCGTCGCTGAATGGCTCAACTGAAGTTAACCATGGTGCCGCACGTGATGGCGGTGCTTGGAGATGACTGGCAAGTCGCGCGAAGGTGCGGTGCTGGTAGCTGCACGTCTTGCATATCGCTCCCATTGCCCATGCTGCGGCGTGTGTGCCGCTTTTTGCGGCACTTTCACAGGAGTGTGTAGCAGGCGTTCTTCTTGTAGAAGGTAGCTCGGCACTGATAGCACATGTACCTTGGCTGAGGTGGTGGTGGTGGTGGCATGATCAGGAGTGCTGGCATGTCGTCGGTGTTCTTGTATGGTTCGAGGGTGTGGTACCACTGCTCTTGGCGTGCTTGGTCTGCTTGCCGCCATAGATATCTTGAGACCACTGTCTCAACGAGGGCCTTGAATCTCGGTGGGTCAGCTGCTGCTTGAAATACTGCGTGCATGTGAGTTGATTGGATTAGGTGCTCCGCGTCGTCCAGGTAGCTGTACATCAATCGAACATCAGATGTGAATTCGTTGGCCCAGCTCGCCTCGTTGTGTAGGTCCTGGTCGATGAGCCTCACGAATTGAGTGGGTCCACGTAGGAGGAGTCGCGGTAAGTCACGTAGTCTGCGCGCGCGGCTTGCCACAATCGGAGGCTATCGGCTGGCGGTCGCCAGTACCTTAAAATTGGATGCGTGTGGGGTGCTGATATCAGTCGCGTGGTGGCCGGTCACTTGTCGGTATCCCTTCAAGTACTCCACTGCGTAGTTCCTGTTGTCTGTCTCCGCGAGGTCGCTCCATAGGTGGTCGTTGTAAATCAAAACAGATAGCACAAGGGAGCCATTGTAGAGGATGTTGTCTCCATTGGTATGTGCTATCTTGTGTTTATATGCTTCTGTAGCGGGCCTCTGGTGATCATGGACTTGTTGATTCATTTCTTGACCTGCGGCCCCATGGTCGCCGTTGAAGTCATAACTGTGCCAAGTGCCGTTTGGGAGAGTCAACGAGCTCGACTGTCTGGTAGCTGTAGGTGCTCGGTATGCATGTCGATCACTCCTTGGCCATGTATTCCTTCGTCGTCCTTGACCCACTTCCGAAGAGTAGCAACATAACATGTTATTTCTCATGTTGAATCGCATTCCGCATCCCCGTACTCTTGATTCCACTATCTGGAGCAAGGTGGTCGCGGTGTGCGTAGCCTTCTGTGGGGTTGTGGTGGCGTATGCTGTGAGGTCGTCCAAGAAGGAGGCGTCCGTGAGCGACAATCCGCCATCGTGACCTCCAGTTGCCTGGCGCTCCTGTGCGAAGGCGGATCGTTCGTTATTGTCGTAGTTGATCTCATACTGAATGCCTTGGTCGATCATGTCTGTGGAGATGGCTTTGGTAATCCTCGAGAAGGCGGCGTTAAAGGAAAAGTCGGACATTGGGACGACCGGTCTCGTACCTTCACCACGTGGTTGGGCAATGCGTGTCGATCCTCTCGTGGTCGCCCACAAGTCTCGGAGTAGCGCTACGAGGTGCTTATCGTCGATGTTGGTATCGATGTGGGGTGTTCCTTGCAGCGCTTGCTCCAGTAATGGTTGTAATACAGGTGGTATGTCCATGATGTCGAGTAGTTCTCGCAGTTCCTCTTCTTCTCTCGGCAGGTTATAGAGGAAGCCCTCCTCCTCCTCCTCCTCCTCCTCCTCCTCCTCCTCCTCCTCCTCCTCCTCCTGCTCCTCGTCCTCCTCCTCCTCCTCCTCCTCCTCCTCCTGTTACTTCTCCTCCTCCTCCTCCTCCTCCTGCTCCTCCTGTTCCTCCTCCTGCTCCTTCTCCTCCTCCTCCTCTTCCTCCTCCTGATCCTCCTCCTCCGCCTCCTCATGATCATCATCCCCCTCCCCCTGTCCGATTCGCAGGTCGCCTCTGCAGCCCCCCCTCGCTAAATTTCCGAATCGGGCAGCGATGGCACGAAGACGTCCTGCTTCATGGCACTCACTGCTTGGCTGGGCGTGCCGGGGGGTTCGGCCAGGAGGGAGAGGAGAGGAGAGGAGAGGAGAGGAGAGGAGAGGAGAGGAGAGGAGAGGAGAGGAGAGGAGAGGAGAGCAATCATGTCCACTCCGTGCGCTGGCTGACCGTGCCGGGGGTGCGGCCCATGCTCGCCCGTGCCCGCCTCGTGTCCGCCTCGCGCGCTGCGCTGGCCTCGCGCCCGCTTCGCGCCCGCCTAGCGCGCTGGCCTCGCGCCCGCTTCGCTCGGGGGGCACAGCTCGCATCCGATAGACACACAAGCATGCACACATGCGCATACGCTTACAGCGCGGGACAGGAGAAGGGGAGGGGGGGGGAGGGGAAGGGGGGAGGGGGGGGGGGTGAAGGGGGAGGGGGGCGAGGGGGGGGGCGGGGGGCAAAACGCGGAGCGCGGTCAGCGCCTGTCTTGTCTCTCCAGGTCGGCATGCACCGATCGAGTCGGCACCCGAGGTGCGGCGCTGCGTCCGCGCGCACCTCTGCCCTCGCAGCTCCGGGGCGCCGCCCCCCATGAGCAGGCCCGACCCCCGGGGCGCGCCTACTCCGACCTCGGCCGCGGAGATGGCCGCCACAAAGACGATGACCTCGGCGCTCAGCAGGGGCGGACTCCCAAGAGCGGCTGCAAGCCCTGGGCTGACTGCACTCTAGAACTGCTTTTATGTGTGGGCTGGAACCACCGCGCGCGCGCGCGCTCGCTTTGCTTAGGTCGGGCATATCCCCCTACAGGGATTTTGGACGAAAACTTAAAACTACACAACAATATTCAAAAATGGTCCAAAGATAATCGAAAAATCGCCCCCCCGACTATTTTGAAAATATGTTTGAATATTCCGCCTGTAGAGGGACACGCCCGACTCAACGCTTCGCGCACGCTCAGGCTGCCTTCAAAGGCTGCGGAAGGGGCCAAGGGGGCCCCGGAGCTCGCTCCCGCGGCCGGGCCCCCTCCGGACTTGGCATCCTGGCCACGCGCACCGTGCGAATCCAAGGATGCGAGCGGGCCCCTCTAGAGGGTCTCTTGAGTCCGGGCCTGTTGGGCCGTCTTGGGGTTGTCAGGGCCGGCTTTGGGATCTCATGGGGCTGGTTTGTAGCGCTTTGGGGGGGCCCTGTGAACTGTCTTGGGGATCTCTTGGGCTGTCTGGAGCCCCTCCGGGGGACCTCTTTGGGCGCCTTGGGCCCTTCTAAAGCCGTTTTGAGCCCTTCTTGGGCCGTCTTGGATCATTATTGGAGCCCTCTTGAAATCATTGGGGCGTTCTTGGGGCGATATTGGGGCCTTTTGTGCCGTCTTGCGCGCTCTGAAGGCCGAACATGTGAATTTGCGAAGACTACTAGATGGTAGCCAGCACGGACCCAAAACAGTGTGTTTCTGGCAACATATGGTGAGCAATCGACGCGGAGCAACTTCTGTTGCGCAATACACGTGATGCAGTATGTGTTGTGCAATCTACGTTGTGCAATCTACGATGTGGAATTCATGTGGGGCAATATGTGTGGTGCGATGTGCGATGTACGACATGGTGCAATAGATGTGAAGCAACATATGTTGTGCTATATATTTGATGCAGCTGTTAGTATGCAGTACATGTTGTGCAATATACGTTGTGCAACACACGTGGTGCATCATGTGTGGTCCAGACCGTGCTGTGCCAGATGATTGTTTTGTGCAATATCTGTAGTGCAATGTGTTTATATGTACATAGGCATGTGCTAGAACCACACGCGCTTCGCGCGCGCGCTTAGCATGCTCAAGCTGTAGTATTAGCTAGTGCGATGCGCGGGAGCCGCGTTTCCGCGCCCAATGCTGCGGGTGCCACAGCGCGTGCGTGGCGGAGGGTCTTGTCTATCGACTTTCTCGTTGAACCATTTCGAACACTAGCTGTAGTATACAATGGCCAGCATCGGAGGACATGGATTGTCACACGTGTCTTATGTAAAACCAAAAAAAGGCCCCTCATGGAGCTTCGCCCGCGGCCCCAATGGTAGGCTTCGCTGAGCGTCCCCCCGCCCATGTCGGCACACCCCTCACGGGGATCGCGCCCCACATGGAGCTCCACCTGCGTCCCCAGAGATAAGGCTCGCAGAATGGCACGCCCCTCAGGCGGATCGTGCCCCGCGAGTAACTGCATTTGCGGCACCGGAGGGAAGCTTCATAGCGTCGCCCCGCTCACTGCGGCACACCTCTCACACGGATCGTAGCCCGAATACGCCGGCCCAACGGGCCAAGGGCGTGCCAAGATCTCTGGCAACTGGTTAACAATACTTCTAGTTCGCGCGCGGGGGGCCGACCCTGGGGGTCCCCGGACGAAAAGTACCCCCGCAAGTCCTGGCCAGGTCCTGGTCAGGTCACGGCCAGGTCCCGGCCAGGTCCCGGGGAGGTCCCGGCCAGGTCCCAGCAGGCTCCCAAGAGCGCCCCAGGAGCGTTTCAAGTGGCCTCCAAGAGAGCTCAACATGATCCAAGACGACAGAGATTGCCTCCAGACAACCCTAAGCGCCTTCAAGACGCCCCAAGAGGCCTCCAAGAGACCTCCCAACAGGGCCCACAGAGGCCGAAATGTATGATTATCCTTCACGTTCGATGTTTGGCGTTCTCGCCTTTTCGGCTTACGGCCCAAGAGGCTTCCAAGACCGCCCCAAGACGGCACACGAAGCCTCCAAGAGGACCCCAAGACGGCCCAAGATGGCCCCAAGACAGCCCAAGAGGCGCCCAAGACAGCCCAAGAAAGCCCCAAAACGGCCCAAGAGGGGCCCAAGAGGGAATCCAGGAACCGAAAAGTCCAGCCTTCAGCCCCAAGAGGCCCCCAGGAGGCCCCACCCCCAAGAGGCCCCAAGGGGCCTCCAATAGGCACCCCAAGAAGCCCCAAGAGGCCCCTAAGAGGCCCCAAAAGGCCCCAACACGGCCCCCAAGAGGCCTCAAAACGGCCGCCCAAAAGGCCCCTGAGAGGCCAACCACGAGAGCCCAACCAACATCCGTGAGGCCTCTGACCCGCCACCCACCGCCTCCGAAAATGGCAGCCGCCCAACCGCACCGCATTGACGGCAACACCCCGACAAACGACAGCGGCGAGGCAATATGGGCCGTCGGAATGAGCGAAGCGATTCAATAAATTCCACGAACGGCCCCAGAGACAAGGCTCGCATCCCGCCCCCCCGCCTACTTCGGAACACGTCTCACACGGATCGTGGCACACAGGGATCTCCACATACGGCCCCAGCGGCAGGGTTCGCACTGCGCCCACCCCCTGGCCATTACGGATTACGGCACAACCCATCACGCGGATCGTGCCCACAAGGAGCACCAACTCAGGGCCCAAAGACGAGGTTCGCACAGCGCCTCCCCGTCCATGTCGGCACACCCTTCACGCGAATTTCCCCAGCACCAATGGGCAGCCTCACATGGCGCCCCCCCACCCATTTCAGAACATGCCTCGCACGGGTCGTGTGCCCAGAGCTGGTCCACCTGCGGCCTCGGTGGGCGTGTTCGCGCGGGGGCATCCGAATTATTCGGCACACCATTCACGCGGATCGTGCCCCACAAGGAGCTCAGCGCACCCGTGCACGCGCGCTCTGCAGCAGCCAGCTTTCCGCATTGCCGCGCGGCGCGCCGTGCATGGCGCGCTGCGCGGGATTATAGTTCCACTTTCTACCTCCTACTGGAAAGTGTTGGAGTCCGCGCGGAGTGGGGGAGCCCAAATCGTCCAATTTAGCACGCCCGAAGCGCGTTGTCTGAATTCCTGCGGGGCCGTGGGAAACATAAAAGTACACGAGATCCCCGCCCCCGAAGCAGTAATCCTTTGTAAGCTATGGCACTTTCGCGCCCCCGAGGCCACGATCTCTTTGTACAGTCAACAATGCTCGCGTCCCAGAAGCAACAAATCCTCGCAGAGTAAGCCATAGTTATTCGCGTCCCCGAAGCAACGATCCGTCGTAATTGCTCAATGTTCGCATCCTCGATGTCATACGCCTTCGTGAACTATTTAATCATTACGTCATGAGGCCACGATCACCTGTAAAGTATGTAATGTTCGCGTCCCCGAGGCCACGGCCCCTTCTGATGTGTACGAGATTCGCGTTGCCGAGGCCACGAACCCTGGTAGTTTAAGCAGTATTCGCGTCCCCGAAGTCACGATCCCGCGTAAAGTATGCAATGTGCGCGTCTCGAAGCCATCATCTTGCGCAGATTCCGCAATAGTTGCGCCCTGGAGGCCATTAGCCCCTGTAACATTTGAGTATCTGCGTAATCGAAGCCCCGATCTCTTTGCAAACTATACAATAGTCGCGCCCCCGAGGCCGCGATCCCTTTTGAAAAAAGACGCCGTAGTCGCGCCCCCGAGGCCACGACCTCCCGCAAAATACAAAAGATTCGCGCCCCCGACACCACGATCCCTCGAAACATACACCATGCTTACCCGTCGGTCGGACGAAGTAGGTAGAACCACGAAGTAGGAAGGCAGGCGTTGGGAGTGGATTGGCTTCCGCCCGCCACTTGTAGAGACGGGAAGAGGGAAAAGCCACTCGACCCTTGAAGTAGGAAGGCGGCGAACGTAGACTGCGATCCGGGGAAACCAAACACATACTTTCAACGACCGATGCGTACGTTGATGGGTCTGTTTTCCACCACCACCACCACCACCATAAGTTAGAGGGGGGAAGGAGGTGGAGGACGAGGAGGAGGAAGGAGAGGAGGAGGAGGAGGAGGAGGAGGAGGAGGAGAAGGAGGAGGAGGAGCAGGAGGAGGAGGAGGACCCCCTCCCCGTCCAACTTATGGTGGTGGTGGTGGTGGAAAACAGGCCCATCGTACGTCGTCGAAGCCAGTCTCCTGCAAGCTGCGCAGCGGTCGGGGTCTCGAGGCGGGAAGCCCTCGCGCAAGAGCTTGTGCACAAAGCGGCTGCGTCGCCGAGGCCACGGCCCCCCTGTGTGAAGTACGCACGCACTGCCAGCGCCCCCGAGGCCACGAGGTCGCAAGTCGCAAATGACGCCGTGCTGGCGCCCTCCAATTTATACACGTCGGCCGGAAGAAGTAGGTAAGAACATGAAGTAGGAAGGCGGATAAAGTGGATTGGGCTCAGGCCCCCCCAGAGAATAACAAAACACAGCAAAGGCAGATCGATTCTTGAAGTAGGAAGGCGCTTGAAGCAGATTGGGATCTGGGAATCGAAAAAATCCTACTTTCAACGACCGGCGAGTAACCCATGCGAGTTATTCAAGACTCGCGCCCTCGAGGCCATAAACCATGGGAAAGCACACCAGTTGCCTCACCGGGGCCACGATGCTTTCTGTAACTAACGCAGCTTCGCGTCCTCGAGGCCACGATCCTCTGGTAAACCGCTGCGCCCGCGTCCCCGAGGCTACGATCTCGAGTACATTACGCGGTGTTCGCGTCCCGAAACCACGACAACGTCAGAACTCGAGAAATGTGTTCACTTTTGCGATGCAAGCCGCAACGTACGATCTTGGCCCTCGCGTGAAGTCCCGACATTGCTTCACGACGGCGCCCTTGCATCCCAATTTCGCTCGGGCATGCCCCATGTTAAGAGAAAGGGGGCCGGCGGCAATGGCCGAAATCCTTACGGATAAGAAGCCCTAAAATCAAGCACTGCTTGGGGAATCACAACACAACGGAAATCAATGGCTACACTGGCATGGAGACACTAAACACGAAGGCTCCATAAGAAGACACACGGCGAGTCAAAACCAGAATGCGCGCACACCTACATGCTGATGCTCTGACCGTCGCCGCACGAATCCTTACTCCTCCTCATCCGCCTCTGCCTTCTCAGCCTCCGTCCTCCTCCCTCCGCCCTCGACCTCCTCCTTGAATCCTCCTCCTCCTCGCCTCCTCCTCCTCCTCCTCCTCATTCCTCCCTCCTCCCTCCTCCCCCCTCCCTCCTCCCTCCTCCTCCCTCGTCCTCCCCCCTCCCTCCTCCTCCCCCCTCCCTTCTCCCTCCTTCTCCTTCCCCCCGCCCGCGCGCGCGCGGCGGGCGCGAGGGGCGCGGAGGCCAGGAAGAAGAGCAAGGCGGCCACGTGCATGGCGAAGTCCTGGGCCGGCCGGCCGGCCACACCCACGGAACGCACAGGGACATACTAATGCTATACGCCCTCCTTGGAGGCGCGCGTCCGACCCGAACCTACAGGGCAGTTGTTCATACATGGGATGTTTAAAAATATTGGATTTTAATACATGATCAATGTATGAATAAATGTATGCATGAACTTATCGTTGCTTATGATACTACATTTGAAATACATGATCCGCACGCGGAGCATGTGTTAAAAACGGCACTGTATAGTAGACCCATATTGTAGCAGATCGTTTCCCGAGCGGTGTGGCCAGAAAGCGCCCGCCACGACGCACATACTGTAAGATGTCTCGGTGCGCGCGTCGCCCCTGGGGCATAAGTATGCTGGCGTGACGCCGAATCCACGCAGCGGCGACGCGTATCTGACCGCCACGCTCCCGGTAGCCCAGGAAGCGGCACCGCACTCGTCACCAGACGGGCAACGGCCGATACGCCGAAGATCGCTGGGAGGACCACTCCTGGACCCGCGTCACGGAGCAGCTTGCCTGAGAGCGTTGCGAGAGAGAGGCAGGCAGGCCGCGCTCCGTGGAGCGCGAGCGAGCCCGCTCTGCCACCGACCAGCCCTCGCCGCCGCACCCGCGGGGTGGCGCGAAGCTGGCAGCACCCGAGAAGAGGACGGTCAAGAGTGTGAGGAAGAGCCCGCGCGCCCAGCCCCGGCCGCCACTGCTCAGCGGACCCGCTGACGCACGCGAGCGCACCGGGGCGAGGTGCGGCGAGGACGGCGGACGTGGTGCCACCCGCGGCTGTCAGATCTGGAAGTCAACGGAAAGATGCCAAAACGCATGGTTTGGGAGGTCCGCGCGGACTCGTGTGTACGAAGCGCGCACAGGGGCGGCGCCCGCGACCCCGCTGGGGGTGGGAGGGCCCAGCGCTGTGGCAAAAGAAACAAGAAGAAATCCTCGCAGACCTCCCAAAGAGTTGATGTTTATGTCAAGGCCCAAGAGGATTCGGTCGCGACGGGGGGCTCCTCCTCCCTCGCCAGCGTGCTGGTCCCGCACACGCGGGTGAGGATGGCCTGCTGCTTGCTACGCGGCCCTCCACCCCATCCTCCCCATGGGCCTCGCGCTCCCCCCGCGCCCCGCCCACCTCCATCGCCACCCCCATGAAGCCTTCTTCTATCCCCACCTGTCCCGTCCTTTCCCCATCCGCTCCCCCCCTTCCAAGCCTTCACCCGCTCCCGTGATATCTTACCCAGCACTCCATCGCGTGTCAAGACATGCCCAAGTGTAAACCCTCATCCGCTTTATCCGCAGCCGTGCCGCAAGCTCTGAGTGGGGTGCCACAAGGTCTCCTCGACCTCTCCACGTTGAATGGCACCAACGCGTGGATCCCGCCCACCGTGCCCTCGTGAGACAAGTGCAGAACTCCACGCGTGCGTGGCGCGCTACGTTTGGCGCCCCGCTTGGGACCCACGCACGACCATGGCGGTCCACGCAACACCGGACTGTGCACCACTTGGCGTCGCTGTGCAAAGAAGAGTTGGCAGCCGAAGTCGTACCAACGATTCGGGCACCCACCACACTGTGCACCACGAGGCGGGCCCCCGTGACGACTCCCAGGGGTGTCCGGGAAGCAGGCAGGGACGAAGGACAGCAGGATTGGAACCCTCGAGGGGAGCGAGGGCGCAGAGAGCCAGAAACGGAAGGGGACGGGGAGGAGAGAGGACCGAGAGGACAGAGAGGGAGGGGAGGGGCAGAGAGCGGAGGCGGTGGTGGCAAGGGGGAAGGGGGGGGGAGGGCAGCGGGGGGAGGAGAGGGGAACGAGAGGGACGGGGAGGAAGGGGCAGGAGAGGGCAGGGAGGGAGAGCAGGGAAGGGGGCATCTGTGGGGGGGCGAAGAGGAGGGGAGGTGCGAGAGGACGTCGCGGCCCCCGAGCACCTTGCCGAGCAGGACTGGGCCACGCCCTCGGCCGAAGCACGGCCCTTGCAGGTCCCCTGGCCCGGCCTGGGCAACAAAGGGCGAGGGACGTCGGGAGGCATATCGCAGCGCTGAGCCGGTTCCGTGCACTGCGAGTCCTGGTTAAGCGTGCGGAGGCCACGCTTTGGGCCAGGCCAATCACGGCACGGCATGACACGGCACTTGCCGCGGTCTGCAGGCCGAGACGACACGGCAAGGCACACCAGCGTGTCTCGGAAAGCCTGGGTGCGCTTGCAGACCAAGCGCGGCACGGCACGGCAGAGCACACGTGTGTCACTGTGAAGAACATGCGCGGCACGGCACGGCAAGGCGCATTGCACTGTGAAAACCAAACACGGCACGGCACGGCACGGCACGGCGGGGCTGTCGACAACAGCCACCGCCGCGAAGCAAGATAAAGGGCAACCGCGCACAAGCCTGTATCCGCACATAAGAACAGAAGCCAGCGCACACACACACACACACACACACAATAAATGAACATGTGGGCAGGCATAAGACTGAACAAAAGTCCCCAGAGAACCTGCCGATGGATTCGTAGCGACAAAAAGTTTCTACTACAGCTGGGAGAACACATTGTCCAATAGCTTGGCCAGACTCCGGCCCGACGTTTGGCCGCGTGGCGCGTCCAGAAGGCAGGGGGCGGCGGTGATTCGCAATAGTCGTCTTCGATTCGCCGCCCCTGGTTGCGAGAGCTTCAGACGCAGCTGGACAGGCTAAGGGAGCCAAGGTAGGAATCTCCATGGGTGCATCCATGGATCCAGCAGTCAAGCTAGTAGGGACGACCATATGAAACAGTTGTGCTGCTCGTGCTGGCCACAGGGCACTGTTGCTAGTCTCGCCTGCTTCCTCGGCGTCCCTGTCCTCTCGCTGCCATCTCTGTCTCTGCCGCCCTGCCTTCCCCACTGCCCCCTCCCCCCCCTCCCTTCTGACTACACTCATGAGTGACCCTGGGTAAGAGGGACCCTTGGTGCGCGGCTTCTGCGGGGGCCGCGGGGGCACCAACACACAAGCGCGCAAGACGCTACAATCGCATCGCGTTCGGCGATCGGGGGGGGCCCAATGGACCCGCACCACAGGTCACTCCGGCGAAGGGTCACTCTTACATCGGGGGCGCGCAAACATGGATTAGTGATTAGTGAACCATGGATTTGGCGCGCGGTCGCCAAATCCATGCATCGGGGGAGGTGCCCTCCCCAAAGTGCGTCCAGTGCCGCCTCGCCCGGCGGCGGGAAGCCGCGATCTCCCACGGAAACGGGAGCCGTCGCTAATCCATGCCCCCTTGATCCATGTTTGCGATCGCCTGATTACCCATCGGTCGGAAGAAGTAGGCAGAAACATGAAGCAGGAAGGCGATGGAAGTAGATTGGGTCTCCGCCCGCCCCCTGAAGAGGAGGGAAGAAGGGATGCCACTCGATCATTGCAATAGGAAGGAGCTTAAAAAATAGATTGGAACCCGGGAGTCCAAAAATACCTACTTTCAACGACCGATGGGTACTCGGGGGCGGCCAAGAGGGGGGCGTCCAAGAGGGGGGGGGTGCAAATCATGGCCGGCGGCACTACGCGGCCCAAGGGGGGGGGGGTGGCCAGGGACGTGATGCAATAAGAAGAGGCGCCATGAAATCTGTGGAAATATCATGGCCCCCGCCCTGAGATCCACCCCCCCCCCCTCGTCATCGCCCCCCGCTCTGCCGCCCCCGCGGTACGTGCCGTCGACCCTCGTCCGCCGCTCCCTCCCGGTCTGTCCCCGCCTCCCCCGCGGGCCCCGCCTCGCCGCGCCGAGGCGAGCGCGCGGGGGGGGGGGCGGCGCGCGCTCTCCGTGCCTGCCCCAGGAGGCGGCCCTGCCCCGCCCCCGCCCCGGGCCCTGCCGGAGCACTGCGCAGGCCTCGCGCTGCGGCCGGGGAGTGACCGGCCTCGAACTGATGCCAGTCCCTAAGATGGGCGAGCAAAGAGCGAGGACAGCCTCAGGGATAGGCCCTCAGAAACTGGGGGAATCCTTGAGATCGGCATCGAGGTGAGGTGATGTCAAACATAGGGATAGGGATATGTTTCAAACTGGTAAGGGAAGACGGTGTGCAGGTCCGCCGCCGCGGCCGCTCCCCCCCCCCCCGTGTCTCGTCCGGAAGGGGGGGGGCCGCGGCGAGGAGGATTTTGGGCTTAGGTCGGGCATGTCCCCCTGCAGTGGGATCTTGGACGACAAATGAGAAATGACGAAACAAAAATAGTCAAGCCTACTGAAACATGCTTTTAACGAATGGTCCCCAGAGTATTTTTTTTTGCTATTTTTTGGATACTCCTCCTGTAGACGGACAGGCCCTACTTGACTGCAGGACTTCGTGGCGACGGACGTCGCTTGCTCGAGTCCGGCCCCTCCCGTGGCCACGGACACGTCCACAGAGGCCGAGGCCGAGGCCAGGAGCACGGCGGGCCGAGTGCTGCCCGACCTCCTGGGCCCCTCCAAGAGTCCACAAGGTCTGGAACCACACCCCGCCGGCCATCCGAGGGGCAAGACAAGGCGGAAGGCGAGGGCCCTGTCCGCCCGAGGTGGCCTCAAGAGTGCATCCAGGATGACCAGCGGGACGCACAGAGACATACTGATACGATATGTCCGCCTTGGAGGCGCGCGTCCGACCCGAACATATATAGTATACCCGTCTTGTAGTACATCGTTTCTCGAGCGGTGTGGCCAGAAAGCGCCCGCCACGACGCACGTACTGTCAGATTTTTCGGTGCGCGCGTCGCCCCTGGGGGGGCGACGAGCACATAGTATAAGTATGTTGGGGGGACGCCGAGCCAAGACGGTCCACGATGGCCTCCAAGACGGACCCACGACACCTCCAAGGCGTCCAGGATTGCCGCAAGAGAGCCCAGGGTGGCACAAAGACGTCCAAGATGACTCCAAGACGGGCCCAGATGCCCCACAGATGGCCCAAGAGGCCCCCAGGACGCCCCCAGGGAACGCCGAGAGGATCTCCAGGAGACCAAAAGCATCGTTGCTCCTGCATGTCTTTCAAGAACTGCCGCGGTCTCGCCTTTTCGGGCTTCCTACAGCCGAAGGCGGCCCCAAAGGTCTCCAGAATAGCCTCAAGACAGCCCCAAAAGCCCCCAAGGTGGCCCCAAGACGGGACAGGAGGCCCAAAAGAGGGCCCTACAGATCTCCAAGACGGCCCTTGCAGCGCCACGAGAAGGTCCCAAGACGGCTCAGAGATGCCCCCCAGGCATCCGACGGCCAAAAGGCCCCTTAGAGGTACCCAGAGGCTCCCAAGAGGGCGCGGGAAGCCCCAAGAGGCCCCTCAGAGGCCCCTCAAAGGTCCCCTCCTCCTCATCCTTTTCCCCCCTCTCCTCCTACGCCTCTCTCTTCCTCACTCAGGTGTTCCCCCAAGGGTTTCCACAACGGCTGGGAGAACACGTAGTCTAAGAATATGGTCAAGCTTCGGCCCAACGTTTGTCCAAAATCGGCATGTCCAGAAGACAGGGCACGGCGGTGACTCGCAGCAGGCGTCTTCGGTAGACGCCCCTGACGACACAAATTGGAAGATGGGGGCATAAATCAATCCACCAATCGATCAACAACTGGCGGGTTTCGGAGACCCTTGACCCAAAAACGTTGTCACCTCTTGGAGGCGCATTTGTCATCTTCCGCCACCTGCCGCCGCCCTTCCGCCGGCTTCCGCCGGCGGAGGCGGCCTCGTTTTACGTCCGTCGACCTTCCGCCGCCCTTCCGCGGCGGAAGAGCTGGCAAACTCTGTCGACCCTCGAGGGCAAAGGCCCTGTCTGCAACACCTCGAGCGGCTGACGAGGATGCTTCTGTCGGCATGAACACCACCCGGGGCTTACCAAGTAGGAGGAGGAGGAGGAGGAGGAGGAGGAGGAGGAGGAGGAGGAGGAGGGCAGCAGGAAAGGACAGGGCAAACCGAAAACAGAGAGACCGCCGAGGGCGCCTCCAGAACCATGAAGGCGTTCGCCAGCGTCATCACGAGCACTGGGAGGATCGGCCCCCACTTGAGCCTGAGGACTCGGTGGCAGCTCATGGGAGCCTCCCGTGCCATCTGGCCGGCTCTTGCGGATCGACGCCAATCGACGCTGAATCGACGCTGAATCGACGCTAGTCGACGCTGAATCGACGCTCCGACTCCCAGACGCGACGCTAACCGACGCCAGAGACGGAATTGAAAGGGCATGCCAGGCTCCCGTGCTACCGAATGAGGAGGAGGACCAGGAGCAAGCCCACGACGCACCGACGATGCTGCCAACACGCCCAGCCCGTCCGGAGCCGTGCCCGCAAGAGACCCGGCAGGCCTGCCTTCCCGCTGCACGAGGCGCCCCGCGCCCCCTTTGACAGACTACGCCCGGTGGTCCTGCTACGGTGGAGGCTTTCGACAAGGATTTTTTTTTTCCTCGACGCCAGGGACAATACGACAGCAATATGTAAGAGGGCAAAAAGCATGTGTGACACGTCGCGGGGAAGCCTACGCCTCTCGGATTACCCCGCGGGGAAGGCCGCGCCACGTGGGTGAAGGTACAAGGAGCGAGCCCAGCATGGCCATGTGACGCGTCGGTCGGAAGAAGTGGGCAGAAACGTGAAGTAGGAAGGCGGACAAAGTAGACTGGGTGCAGGCCCCCCCAGGGAAGAACAGAACACAGCCAAAGCGTGTCGACTCTTGAAGCAGGAAGGCGCGTGAAGCAGATTGGGATCTGGGAATCCAGAAATACCCACTTTCAGCGACCTGCGTGTACCGTTGTTAGGGAACGCGGAGGTTCGACTCGGCAGAGTTCCTTCACTTTGTAAAGAACGATGGAGCCCCTGGACCACAGGGCATTGCCCCAGTACGGCTTGAGAAATTGTCCTGGACCCTGAAGCACGCCCGCCAGTCCTCGAGGGCCCCGCCTGTGAGCAAAGATTCGCTATAGAATGCCTCCACCGTATTCAGGCGCGCTCCGTTTGAAGTGGAACTGACTTGCATCCTTCCAGCGAGCCACAAGGAGTGCACATACTAAGGAACCGCCCTTCATCGTTGTATGCGGCAAGCCTTCAATACGAATGCGTGCGGAGCTGTACCGAGAGCCCCATGTTGAAAACCATCACCACTACCCTTCGCCGTTTCAACGATTGCGTTCAAAAACGAATTCGCGCGGCGTTAAGGCGAGAGCCACAGTTTGAAAAAAAAGCACCACCACCCCTCCATAATTTTGACTGCTGCCATTTCGAATAACCACGCCCCTCCATTCGTGAAACGTCGCAAGTTTCGAATCCCACCAGCCCTTTGGGCGTGAGTGGTTTAGGGAGCTCTCTCTGTTCTCAACCCCCCTTCTTCCCCTTCGGGGAGGGGTTTACCCCTCCCCCTACCCCCTCCCCCTGGACCTGGAGAGGGGGTTTCGCGGGTCGTTGGAGGGGTCTTTTTCGACTCCTGGGAGGGCTAAAAAACGACGACCCTCACGGGGATTCTGGCCCCGACGGGGCGGCGGAGAAAAAACCCGCTCCTCTTGTTTGAAGCCAAAATCATTGATTTTACTACGGTGTTGGCCCCATTTTGGCCTCCTGAGGGGGCCGCGCTCATCTTCCTTCATAGCAAAATCATTGATTTTACGAAGGTTTTGGGCTCATTTTGTCCTTCTCAGGGGTCAGCGCTCATTTGCGCTTCTGAGGAGGTCGCAAGAGGCCCCAAGATGGCCCCAAGAGGCACCCAGGAGCCTCCCAAGAGGCCTCCAAGAGGCCCCCAAGAGGCCCCCAAGAGGCCCCAAGAGGCCCCCAAGAGGCCCCCAAGAGGCCCCCAAGAGGCCCCCAGAGGCCCCAAGAGGCCCCCAAGAGGCCCCCAAGAGGCCCCCAAGAGGCCCCCAAGAGGCCCCAAGAGGCTCCAAGAGGCCCCCAAGAGGCCCCACGAGGAGCCCGAACGACTCACACCAGGACGAGGCGCCCGAACGACTCACACCACGAGGAGCCCGAACGACTCACACCAGGACGAGGGCCCCGAACGACTCACACCACGAGGAGCCCGAACGACTCACACCAGGAGGAGGAGCCCGAACGACTCACACCAGGACGAAGGGCCCGAACGACTCACACCACGAGGAGCCCGAACGACTCACGCCAGGACGAAGAGCCCGAACGAATCACACCAGGACGAAGGGCCCGAACAACTCACACCAGGAGGAAGGGCCCGAACGACTCACACCAGGACGAGAGGCCCGGAGATATGCGGGGGCAGGCGGAAACACGCCTGAAAAACACGACTGTCGGCATGCTTCGCAAGAGTTGCTGTTTTGAGATGGGCTGGTGGGGATACGCGAAGCGTGAAGAATTGCAGGATCTTTAATGGCGTGGAAATCTCAGGCGACACGCCAGACCCACCCAACGCTCCAAGACGCCCGGAATGGCCTCCGGACGATTCAAGACGATTCCAAGACGTCCCAAGATGGCTCCAAAAAGCCTCCCAAAAGAGCCCCGAGAGGCCAAGGCTACTAACTTCCAATGATTAGGTTGTTAATGGATTTCAGCGTTCTTGCATTTCTGGCTTTCGATGCTCAAGACAACCCAAGAGGCCCACAAGATCGCCCGAGGATCCTCCAACAGGGCCAAAAGGCCCACTGCCAAAGAGGGCCCAAAGAGTGACCCAAGAGAGGCCCCAGAGGAAGAACACAAACCGACGTTTCGAGCCCTCCGCCCTACGACGACCTCCGAGACCGCCAGCAAGCCTCCGAGAAGCCCCCCAAAGCTCCAGGCGGCCCCCAAGAGGCCCAACCAAAATCGGCCCCGAGAGGTCCCGAAAAGACCTCCTCCTCCTCCTCCTCCTCCTCCTCCTCCTCCTCCTCCTCCTCCTCCTCATCCTCCTCCTCCTCCTCCTCCTCCTCCTCCCTCCTCCTCCTCCTCCTCCTCCTCCTCCTCTCCTCTCCTCCTCCTCCTCCTCCTCCTCCTCCCCCTCCCCCCCCTCCTCCTCCTCACACCTCCTCCTCCTCCTCCTCCTCCCCTCCTCCTCCTCCTCCCCTCCTCCTCCTCCTCCTCCTCCTCCTCCTCCTCCTCCTCCTCCTCCTCCTCCTCCTCCTCCTCCTCCTCCTAGGCTCACGTGATAGCCACCACTCAGTGTTCCCAGCGGCTGACAGCCATCGCAAGTCGTTTGTACTGTAGTGCTCGTGCTGTCGTGGTCTGGTCACTGCCCGGGTGTGGTCCTGCCCGGCGTCGGCGACGCAGCATTGCCCGTCCAGGCTGTGTGAGAATGCTCGGATGTCCATCGTCCCATCTTTCTGATTGCCCTGCCTGTCGCTGGCGTCCGTGTGTCGAATGTGAAGATTCGGGTTCCAGTTTGGCACTCTCTGTATCCAGCGTGTCGGGGGGTGGTGAGCCACATGGTTCGCCCATCGCCAGTCTCTGCTGTGGTGCATATATAACACATCGGGCATATGATGTCGAAGAATTAACGTGTCTGCCCTACGCGTGCTCCTGTCGATGAAGTCGGACCATAACACGGCGCCTTCATTCTGCATCGTGCCTGGTTGCGTGCCTTTCTGGTCATTGGCGGCGTCCTGCACGTTGGATTGGTGCATCGGTGGGTTGCTGCAAACGTCAGATTCGCTGGAGTCGTTGGGGGGAGTGTTGCTGGTGTCGTGGTTGCTGCTGCGTGTCGTGGTCGTTACTCAGTGTTGCTGGCGTCGTGTCGTGGTCCAAGAGGATCCCGAGAGGCCTCCCAAGAGATGCCCACAGGCATCCGAACAGGCTTTTGACCTACAACCTACGAACGGTGGCAGAATGGGCCGAAGGCCACTAGACCGCCGCCCCCTGTTGATTTATCACAGGGGTGCCTGGCGTGCTCAGTTTCTGGTGGTTAACTGTTCTTGTTAGGACTCCCCCTGGGGCTTCTGCATAACCCGCCTGCCACCCGGAAGAACCCACAATCCGCCGAAAATTCTAATTCCGTTGGCCCACTCACATCCAAGAAAGCCAAGATGGCCTCCAAGATGCCTCCAAGACGGCCAAGATAGCCCCAAGATGCACCAACGACGGCCCAAGCTGATCCCAAGACGGCCCAAGACGCCCAAAGAGGCCTCCAAGACGGCCCACGAAGCCTCCAAGAGATCGTCCCGGAAAGCCCGAAGAGTGATTGTCGATTAGCTTTTGTAGGATGGCATTTGCTTCTCTTCGGCCTTCCGACGGCCCAAGACGGTCCAAGAGACCCCCAAGATCGCCCCAAGAGCGCCCAAGAGACATCCAAGATGGCCCCGTGATGGCCCAAGAGATCCCCAAGACAGTACGAAGAGGGCCACAAGACGACCCAAGATGCCTCCAAGGCGCCCAAGATGCAGCGCCCCAAGAGGGCCCAAGACGTCCCAGGGTGGCCCCCAAGACAGCTTCCGACGGCGTCAGACGATCCAGGAACGCCCTAAGACGGCCAAAGAGGCCCCCAACTAGTCCCAAAGGTCCCCAAGAGGCCCAAGGAGGCCCCCAAGAAGCCTCCAAGAGGCCCCCAAGAAGTGCCCAGGATGCCCCGAGAGGGCTGCAAGAGGATCCCAAGAGGCCTCCTCCTCCTCCTCCTCCTCCTCCTTTCCTCTTGCCTTCTGAATAACTCCTCCCTGTCGCACCCCGAGGCGTGTCGGTAGGGCGGACCGGGCGTCTGCCCTGAGACTTCTTCACCATGGGTGATCCTTAAGCTTCGGGTGGTGTTCAAAAGGTGCCTCTCGCCTTAGCGCCGCGCACATTCGTGTCTGAAAAAGTGCGAGGGCTTCACGGATGGAGGGCGGGCCGTTTTCAAAGTGGGGCTCTCGCACTAGCGCCGCGCACATTCGTTATGAAAGTTGGCAGGAGCTTGACAGATGGAGGGCGGTACCTTTTCAAAATGTGGCTCTCGCCTTAGCACAGCGCACATTCGTCTTAAAAGTTCGCGGGGGCTTCACAGATGGAGGGCACTACCTCTTCAAATGTGGCTCTCGCCTCAGCGCCGCGCACATTCGATGGCTGGTGTCCCAGAAATGGTGCTTTGGCACGATGTAATACTGCGAGGGCGCAAAAGTCACGTTAAT